CTGATTGGTGACAACTGACTGAACACCAAAAAGGAAACCTGTTGAAGTGAAATGGACAGTATGAGAAACGGTGACTTGATCAGCATAGCCCTGACTGTTAATGAACAACTTAATACATTATCCCTCTTAGTAGTTTTTTTGTCTGCTCTACTTAATATGACTGGTTTAATTCTGTAATTAATACACAGTTATTCTTAAGTGTTGAAATTTAACTGAAATGTGATCCCTGTTGAACATAAGAGTGGGAATAAGAGAGGGAAGAGATGTACAATTTGGGACATGCTCAGGCTGACTTGCCCCAAATAGTAGAGTTAGAAACATACCAGGGGATTCCAATTCAATCCCATCAAGGTGGCATGTACCAATGCCATCTCACTAGTCCAAGTGATCAATTTCAGTTCACAATTGATCATAATGAAAGGACTAAGAGTCAAAGGGAGCACATAAACAAGTCTAGTACCTGCTAACACTAACCGATAGAATAAATAAAGGGGAGAGTGATCCAACATGGGAAGCGAGATACTCAGCAGACTCATAGAATGGCAGATGTCCTAAATAGCACTCTGGCCTCAGAATCAGCCCTAAAGGCATTCCGATCTGGCTGAAAAGTCCATGAGAGTATTTCAGTCATGGAAAGCCAAAACACTCAGGAAAAAAAAAAAACGAATGAAAGATCTCTGTGAGTGAGATCCCAGTGGAAAGAACAGGTCTTCAAAGAAGGAGGTACCTTTCTCTGAAGGGAGGAGAGAACCTCCACTTTGAATATGACCTTGTCTAAACAAGATAAGAGTCGGAGAACTCAAGGGGCTTCCATAGCCTTGGAAACTCATGACTGGAGCATGGGGAGATTACTGAGGCCATAAACAAGAGTGTCAATTTGTAAAGTCAACAACAGGAGTCACTGTGCACTTACTCCTCATGTAGGATCTCTGTCCTTAGCGTGCTGTACATTGAGACTTAATGCTATAACGAGTACTCAAATAGTATATTTCACTCTGTGTTTCTATGGGGGTGCAAACTGTTGAAAGCTTTACTTAATGTATACTAAACTGATCTTCTGTAAAAAAAAAAAAAAGAAGAAGAAATTATCAATTCCCAACTTGACTCTCACTGAGATTAAACATGACAATAGGTCTGATCTGATTTCATTATCATTTAAAAAATCATCTATTATTTTTCAATTTATGTTTCTGTGTGGGAGCAAACTGTTGAAATCTTTACTTAATGTATGCTAAACTGATCTTCTGTATATAAAGAGAATCGAAAATGAATCTTGATGTGAATGGAAGGGGAGAGGGAGTGGGAAAGGGGAGGGTTGCGGGTGGGAGGGACGGTATAGGGGGGAAGCCATTGTAATCCATAAGCTGTACTTTGGAAATTTATATTCATTAAATAAAAGTTAAAAAAAAAACAGGAAACTGGAGTCAACATCCGCAGCAAGACCTGAAGCTAGGTACTCGAATATGGGACGATGAATCTTAATCAGTGTTTTAACCACTAGGTTGAACACCCGTTTCTGAGTTTATGTATTTTTAATCCATTTTATTAAATGGATCAAATTAAAAAAATGCAAAAATAAAGGAATTTAGTGAAAAATACTTAATTGTGATTACATAAATTGAAAAGTAAAAATCAATGAATATAAAACTCATTCCACCTACTAGAAAAATTCTGAGAAAGTATATCTAGAGCTACACTTTGGGAAAATTCAGTGAATGATTACTCTGGAGTTATAAATATTAAGAAAGTTTAAAAATGTGTGACTTTAAAGTGTGTAAGATTATGCTTATCCTAACAGAGTTCAGAGAGACTGTACATTAATGTTGCCAGCGAAACTTAACAGAATTTTGAGTGATCTGATGACATTACTGTGAAAGAAAATCAAGCAGCAATGTCACAGTACAAGGATTTACTTAAATAAGAATATTAAGTACACACATATCTGGCACTGGGTCTGTGGCACAACAGGTTAAGGTCCTGGCCTGCAGTGCTGGCATCCCATACTGGTGCCAGTTCAAGACCCAGCTGTTCCACTTCAAATCTGTCTCCCCATTAATGTGCCAGGGGAAAGCAGTGGAGGACAGACCAAGTCTGTGAGCCCCTGTACTTGCATGGGAGAACCAGAAGAAGCTACTGGCTCCTGACTTTGGATCAGCTGAGCTCCAGCCATTGCAGCCATTTGTGGATGGAAGACATTTCTTTTTCTTTCTCTCTCTCTCTCTACTTCTCTCTGTAACTCTTTCAAAGAAATAAAATAAATCTTTAAATAAAAAACCTGCATATATCAATAACTGCAATCACAAAACCAGAAAGGATGCTCACAAAATTAAATATACCACTGATACTGTAAGTTAAACTAAATAACTTAATTGGAGTTCCAATAAAATCACTACCAGATATAAGGGAGTTTGGAGAAAAAGAATCCATTTCAAACAGTTTAAAAATGTAAATAGAGCATCTTAAGTCATGAAGAGATAACTGTACTTTACACAGTATATTATAGGAAAGGTACACATCAATGGCAAAATTCAGGAAATGATAAATTGATATGTGGAACAGAATACCATGGCAAACATTTTGAAAATTTGTAGAGAGAATTACAGAACTTTGAGCAGGTTTGTGATACCACTACGAAAATGCAAAGCAAGATTGCCACAGCTATATTATCACCATTGGCTTACTTGGATGTTAGTGAACTATACATGGTATAGCATTAGATGCAAAGGCAATGAAAACAGATGTACATGTCATGGAATAATGTATGCTGTGATTATTGTGAAAAGAAACGAATAATAATGGTATGAAAAGCAGATGGACAACTTTCTGTTATTCTTCACTGCAACTACATCTATATCGAAGAACATGAAAAAATACCACAAACATGATTGAAAAAAGATCATGCCTTGTTCTACAATATATGAGCACAGACTTCCATATCGAGATTACGCTTAGAAAAACCTTAAAAATTAAACTCAAACTTAATTCCACAAACATCCAAAAAAGTAAAAAATATGTTATCTAGAAAGAGTGAATAATTACAGTAGAGTAACAATGTCTGAGAACCTGTACATGACAGTTTCCAGGAGACTTACAGAAATTTGAGATAGGTGATGACTTCACAATCAGAAAGCTAAGCAATCTGGTAAAAGGTTAAGAGTACTAGGGTTGACTCAAACTAAGATATTACAAATATGCACTGTATATTTGTAATATTGAGTATAAAGACATAAAAAGGCATTCAGCTGTTGTGAAAAACTGTTATTACCATAAAATGGATAATTTTGTGGAAGAAACAATGACAAAATGAGTGAATATAGGCAAAGTGGATGAAAAGCAGACGATTACAATTACACTAAAAACGGAAAAGAAAAAATTTCAGCAAACATAACAAAGATCATAGCAGCTCTTACCAACTTAGAGTAAGGATGCCTGAGGCAGTGTTGTGGTGCAGTGGATATACCCACCATTTGGGATGACTTCATCTCATATCAGAGTGCCTGACCAAAGTCTCATCTATTCTCCACTGCTGACCCAGGGCTCTGCTTATGTACACTGGAGGAAGTAAACAATGGCCTGTGTTCCAGTCAGGGACCTCCCTGTTACATTTAATGAAACCAAGTTCCTAACATCCAGCAGGGTGGCATCTTGCATTTGTGGAGTCACTTTCCTGCCTGTACCAACAGAAATGTCAGGGTGACCCTGCAGGTGTTTCCATCTTGGCCTCCAGTGCAGGGCTTACTAGGGAGCATTTTCCACAAGTGCTATCATCTTTTCCCAATATTACAAATATGTATTTTATTGTGTATATATTATATACCTTATTATACACACACACACACACACACACATATATACATGCCACGTGCTGTTTTTTCATGGACTGAAATCATTCTGTGATATTTTTTCTGCAACCCTGAAGATTTTTTTAAACAAATATGCTTAAGCAGATGAATTTTTTAAAATTCTTTTTTAATTAGACAGTCTTTATTGATTGTGTACCTACAACCATGATCATGTTAGCAATGCTGTTTTGAGCCAGGTCAGCAAGTTAACCTGCTAATAAACGAAGTTGATGTTTCAAAAAAAAAGTGAATTTTCCATAATTTTCAAAAGTTTCCTTATATTTATAACATCATGTTGCATGCTTGATTATACACAAATTTGTCAATCATATCCAACAATCTTGAAAAAATTGAAAGAAACATAAAGTACCAGGCTCCCAAATCAACATATAAATTCAAAATAACTCAGGAGACATATTTTCAGGATTGGGAAGATTTTTATGGAACAGAATAAATTTAAAAATACTCATAACTTTGAGCAGACAAAATTCCTACTCTGAAAGTGCAAATGCAGAGGGCAGGCTGTGAAAGGAAAGTGTAAGGGCTAAGATGATAACCAAGTGTCAACTTACAGGGCACTTGTGCCCCTCTAAAATCTGAACAAAACCCCCAAGTCAAACAGAATGTTTTAGTCTTACCCACTCTAGGTGACTGTTATTGGAAACAGAAAATGGAGAGACCCCCTAGAAACAGCTGTGCTGAGAGGCCAGCATCCTGGGAGAGACCCTGCTGCCCACATATTTAGAAAACTGGGGGGAATCAGGTCCCAGCAGGGAAGGACGGAGGAGCCCAGGGCCGCACAAACTACAGCTCCCGTCCCACACGCACCCCACACACGGAGCCCACATTCTTCCTAATGACCACCCCGTGCCCACTGCACAGTCGGGGAGACGCGGGGCTGCTGCCACACAGCTGCCCAGGGATGGCTCTGGGCCGAGAAGTCGCTGTGAGCAGGGAAGAGGCAGGGCGTCGGGGGTCCCGGGTGCCAGTCCAGACCCCGACCCCCGGGTCTGAGGGGACCAAGGGAAGCGCTGGGCCAGCGGCAATATGGGGCCACAGATTCGGAGACGAGCTCTGGGAGGCCCACGTCCTGCCAGCTTCTCAGCAGCTTCCACGGCTGCTTTACGCCTCTCCCGACACCTGGGCGCACACACTCACCACGTCGAGGTTTCCAGCTCCAGGTGTCCAGCGTCCCCGGTGATGAAGGTGGAGGCCACGGAGCCCGACTTGCTTTGGGAGCCTCGCGCCTGCAGAGCCGTCTCCTAGCACCTCGCTCCTGCCCAGAACTGTAAGATGATTGTGACGTCAAGACCCCGCGTGATGACGCGGCGTGGACGTCGTCGTGCCTGATTGGACAGCGTGCATGGCCGTGAATGCACACAACGTCACAAAGGACGCAGCCCATCAACATCCTGCAGGGCAATGGGCCCCTGACTTCAGGTTGTGCTGGGTGGGAGAGCAGGAGGCGAGGCCTGGGTGCAGGTCGGACTCCACCTCCCCAGGCGGGAGGCCTCTCCCCTCTGCTCCTGCACCCGCCGGGTCCCTCCTGTGGCCTTGTCCTCCCTGATGGGTCCCTGCTGGAGCTCTCGGTGCAGTAACTGCTTCAGTGAGTCACAGTTCTGTGCGTCGGCCTCTGGGCTTCTTCATATTGTGACTCATTTTCCTGTTGGGTCGTTTGTGTTACTTTTTAATATTGATTGGAAGAAAGCTGAAAGAAATCACATGATTTAATCCTTTTTTCCCTTTTCTCCTGTCAGTATTTGTTTTCTACTCTGCCTATTGACCTTTAATATTTTCTATTTGTCTTTTGTTGCTGCATGGTAATCTAGTGGATTTTAAAAATATTGATCCTTCCAGCAAGCTTGTTAAATTCATTTATTTCTTTTTAGATTTATTTCTTTTTAGATTTTATGGATTCTCTCTAAATATACCCAACATATTGACATTTTATTGTTTAGAAATCTTTACACCTTATTTTTTCTTTTTGCTCTCCCCTCTCCCCACTACTCCTCCAATAAGAATTTGGAGATAGTGGAGGTGCTGCTGTAGGCTTACTTCCAGGGAAAAAGCTGTCAATGATCCTGTATGTATTGTGTTGTTTGTTTTAGGATCCTTTTAAACAATATTGATCAGAGTATGGAAGGCACTTTTTTACTATACTGCTAGCAGTTTTTTTATTTTGTAAATTTTATGCTAATTTTTAAATGTTTTTCACATTCAATCTAAATGGTCATATGATTTTCTTCTTGAATTTTTCACTTACTTGGAAAATTTACATGGATTGTTTAAAAATGTTAACCACCTGTTGCATTCTTTCTTGTATCTCACTTGTTCTTCATTATATTTTCATATGTGATTTAATTTATTATAATAGTACTAAGGATATATGCATCTATGAATGAGAGGCTTATACTTAATGCATATTTCAAGTTTGGTCAACTTGCATCATCATCAATGTAATGCTGGCCTTCCAAATAAATTTGGAAATATTCTCTACTTATTTCTACCTTGGTACGGCTAGAAATAAAGGTGTGTTTGAAATATTTTGTATTTCTTTTTTTTTCCCAAAGATTTATTTATTTTTTGAAAAGCAGAGTTACAGGGAAGTGGAAGCAGAGAGAAAGAGAAAGACAGAGAGAGAAGAGAGTTACAGACAGCGAGAGGGAGAGAGAGAGAGAAAGAGAGAGAGAGAGAATCTCCATCTGCTGGTTTATTCCCCAAATGGACACAAGGGGCCCGAGCTGGGCTGATCTGAAAACAGGAGGCAGGAGCTTTCTCCAGGTCCCCCATACTGGTGCAGGGACCCAAGCACTTGGGCCATCTTCCACTGCTTTCCCAGGCCATCAGCAGAGAGCTGGCTCGGGAGTAGAGCAGCCAGGACTCAAATCAGCACTCATATGGATGCTGGCACCATAGGCAATAGCTTTACACCGTATGCCACAGCACTGGCCCTGGAATATTTTGTATTACTCTACAAAAGTTTTGCTTCTGTAACTTTATAATTGGTTGGTTGGTAATTTTCATATTGTGATTCAATTTGCTTGTTTTAGGTAGGATTTTGCTATTTTATATTATATTTGGTTTTGGGAATTTGATGTCCAAAATATAGTAGATTTTAATCTCTAGTCAAATTTTTCTTCCTAAGCATTTTACAGATTTTTTTAGCTTCTTGACAAGGCTATATTCTATGTAAAGCATTGTTTCAATTCCCTGAAACTGGATATTAGTGTTACTTTTCCCTGTATTGTCTTAATTACTTTTACTCATAGTTGATTAATTTTGGAACCTTAAAAAGTAGATCCTTCTTTATGGTGCTTTTAAAAATCATTTCATATTATGGTATATATACACTATAGAATACAACTCAGTGATAAAAAATGAAATCGTATTTTTTACAACAAAATTGATGCAACTGGAAACCATTACATTAAGTGAAATAAACCATTCCCAAACAGATAAATAACATGTGTTTTCCCTGATCTGTGGTATTATAATAAATTGAAGTGAAATTGACATTTTGAGCTTTGATGATTTTTATAGAAAGCTTTTATTTAATAAATATAGATTTCATAATTACAACTTATGGATTATAGCAGTTCTTCCCCCCATACCCACCCTCCCACTCCCTATACATCCCACCTCCTACTCCATTTCCCATCCCATTCTTCATTAAGATCCATTTTTAATTATCATTATAAACAGAAAATCAACTCTATACTAAGTAAAAATTCTAACAGTTTGTACCCACACACACATACTTACCCTTAGGGGTATGTCAGAGGGAACATATGCCCAACTGTACATCTCACCCCTCTCTTTATTTTTTGTCACTCTTATTTTTAACAGGGGTGAATTTTTAATTGGTTTTAAAAACCTGAGAATAATACTGTGTTAAGTAAAGTGTTCAACCAATGGTATTAAGTAGAAAAAGAAAATACTAAAAAGAATAAAATAGTAAGCTGTTCCTCAACAGTCAGGACAAAAGCTAATCAAGTCAATGCTTCTCAGTGTCAGTTTTACTCCTACAGGTTTCCTTTTAGGTGCTCAGTTAGTTGTCCTAGATCAGGGGAAACATGATATTTGTCCCTTTGTGACTGCCTTATTTCACTCAGCATGTTTTCCTGATTCCTACATTTTGTTGCAAATGACTGGATTTGATTTTTACCGCTGTGTAGTATTCCATAGAGTACATATCCCATAATTTCTTTATCCAGTCTTCAATAGATGGGCATTTAGGTTGATTCCATGTCTTAGCTATTGTGAATTGAGCTGCAATAAACATGGAAGTGCAGATAGCTCTTTTATTTGCTAATTTAATTTCCTTTTGTAAATTCCCAGGAGTGGGATGGCTGCGTCATATGGTAGGGTTATATTCAGGTTTCTGAGATATCTCCAAACTGTCTCCATAGTGGCTTTACCAGTTTGCATTCCCAAAAACAGTGGATTAGTGTGCCTTTTTCCCTACATCCTTGCCAGAATCTGTGGTTTGTTGATTTCTCTATGAAAGCCATTCTAACCAGTGTGAGGTGAAACCTCATTGTGCATTTCTCTGATGGCTAGTGATCCTGAACATTTTTCATGTGTCTGTTGGCCATCTGGATTTCTTCTTTTGGAAAATGTCTGGTCAAGTCCTTGGCCCATCTCTTAAGTGGGTTGTTTGTTTTCTAGTGGTGGAGATTCTTGACTCTTGGTAGATCGTGGTTATTAATCCTTTATCAGTTGCATAATTTGCAAATTTTTCCTCCCATTATTTTGGCTGCCTCTTCACTTTCCTGTTTCTTTTGCAGTACAGAAACTTCTCAATTTGATGTAATCCCAGTTGTTAATTTTGTGTTTGGCTGCCTATGCCTCTGGAGTCTTTTCCAAGAAATCTTTGCCTGTGCCAATATCTTGCAGGGTTTCTTAGATGTTCTCTAATAATTTGATGGTGTGGGGTCATAGATAAAGATCTTTATTTAGTGGATTTTTGTGTAGGGTAGGAGTCTTGCTTCATACTTCTGCATGTTGAAATCCGTTTTTCCCAGCACCATTTGTTGATTAGATGGTCTTTGCTCCAGGAATTGGTTTTAGTTCCTTGATCAAATATAAGTTGGCTGTAGATGTTTGGATTGCTTTCTGGTGTTTCAATTCTGTTCCATTGGTCTGCTCATATATTTTTGTACCAGTACTAGACTTTTTGATTACCATTTCCCTGTAGTATATCTTGAAATCTATTATTGTGATGCCTCCAGCTTTCTATTTGTTGTATCATATTGCTTTAGCTATTGGATGTCTCCTGTGCCTCCATATGAATTTCAGCATCATTTTTTTCCAGATCTGAATATAATGCCTTTGGTATTTTAATTTGTATCACATTGATTCTATAAATTGCTTTTGGAAAAATGGACATTTTGATGACATTGATTCTTCCAATCCATGAACATGGAACATTTTCCTATTTTTATATCTTCTTCAATTTCTTGCTTTAAAGTTTTGTCATTTTCATCCTAGAGATCTTCAACATCCTTGGTTTAGTTTATCCCGAGGCATTTGATATTTTTATGTAGCTATTGTGAATAGGATTTATCTCAGAAGTTCTTCTCAGCTGTGGCATTGTCTGTGTATACAGAGGCTATTGATTTTTTTGCATTGACTTTATATCCTGCTACTTTATCAAACTGTTCTAAAACTTCCAGTAGCCTCTTGGTGGAGTCTTTTGGATCCCCTAGATATGTCATTTGCAAATAGGCTTGTTGGACTTCTTCCTTCCCAACTTGTATCCCCTTGATTTCTTTTTCTTGCCTAATGGCTCTGGCTAAATCTTCCATTACTGTATTGAATAACATAAATCAATATTTTGATGAAAGAAAAACACTTTGTGTTGCCATATCTACCTTTGTTATGCCATAATCAATTCTGATTTTGTAAATAGCCTTGTGATGCCATGAGCAACTGGACTATAATAAACAAATAATGTGGTATCATAAACCAAATTTTTTATATCATAAGCAATAGTGAAATCTTAAAAATATTGTGACATTATAAAGCTACCATTTTGATGTTATAATCAATTGTGATGTCATAAAAACCTTGTGATATCATAAAGCTACCATTGTCATCTCATAATTAATCGTGATATAAAAACACTGTGATGTTATTAAGCTACCATGTCATGTCATAATAAATCATGATGTAAAAATTCTTATGTTACCTAATCAACTGGAATGTGATAATTCACCATTGTTATATCATAAAGATAACATTGTGATAATATATGTATCACTATTGTGATGTCATAATAAATTCTGATTTTGTGAAAAATATTGATACAATAAACCAATATTATGATGCAATAAACCAAAAATTGTCATATCATAAACCAAGTTGTGATGTCATGACCAACTGTGAGTCCTAAAAATTATTGCAATGCCTTAACTTATAATTGTGATGATAATCAGTTGTGATGTCATAAATCATTATTATTTTATAATCAATTGTGATATCATGAAAGCATTATGACATATGCCAATATTGTGATAACATTTACATGACATTGTGATTTCTTTTTTTTTTAAATTGTGTTTATTTATTTGAGTAGTAGATTTACAGACAGTGAGAGGGAGAGACAGAGAGGTCTTCCATCCGCTGGTTCACTCCCCAAATGGCTGCAACATCCAAAACTACTCCTATCCAAAGCCAAGAACCAGGAGCATCTTCCTGGTCTCCCAC